TTCTTTGGTTTCTTATACCCTTTTTTTTTTATTTTTATTTATTTGTGTGTGTGTGTGTGTGTGTGTGTGTGTGACCAGCTCAGCCCACCAGGGGGTGGGGCTGGCTGGCATGTGGTGCTGGGGATTGAACCGCGGTCCCGGTGCTTTGCTAAGCTTGTTCTAAGTAGGTGCTTTAGACCACTGAGCCATCTCACCAGTCCTCTCATACCCTTTTCTAAGCTGGTCATTATTAGCCAAGACTGCAGGGATTCCTGTTAGCTTAGGGATAAGTGGGTGTTAGGAATTCATCACTGTAACTGCCGCCATTTCTCTGATGATCTCTTTGTTCTTTGGCACTAGCATCTCTGTTCACCCCATCCTTTTAGTAGGATGTGGGGAGGGAAAAGAGGTCATGTGGGTGATCCCCTGGCCCCACGTTACAGGAAGTTCTCCATGCTTCCAAGTTCGCTGTACCGTCATTCACTAAAGCCAAGCTGCGGAAGCAACCTGAGAGTCTGGTGATGAATGAGTGCATAAAAATATTTTGGTAGAGATTACACGGTGGGGTGTTATTAGGCCATTAAAAGAAAGGGAATCTGCCATTTTCAGCACCACGGATGGACCCTGCAGACATTATGTCAAGTAACATAGGTCAGAGAAGTGCGTGTTTTCACTTAAATGTGGAACCAAAAATAGTCAAACTCATAGAAACAGAGGATAGAAAATGAGTTGCCAGAGGCAGCGGGATGGAGAGCGAGATATTGGCCAATTGTCAGCTATGAGATGGCTACATTCTGGAGACCTAGTGTACAGCATGGTGACATTATGTAGTATGATTGAAAAATATGGTGACGCTTGGAATTTTTTTATGACAGTAAAAGACACTGCCATTAATTCCCCTCAAAAATACTCCCATTTGCCTTCCACACACTTATCCCATGGTTCTTGCCACTTTCTGAAGCTGTTCTGGAAGTCCTGTTTTGTGAGTGTCTACTTGTGTTGCCGTGGCTGCCTTATTTCCTGAATCCATTCAAAATGTTTCCCTTTAGGGAAAGTTTACGAGCCAGAAGTCACGTGCTGCGAGTCCAGTGAATAAAGCGAGTGAGGACACCATATTTTTACAAGCCTGCCATTCCATTGGGTGACACTCAGTGGCAGCATTCTCTGTTTTGTTTTTGTTTTTGTTTTTGTTTTTTTGGTACCAGGGATCAAACTCAGGACCTTGTGTTTGCCAGACAGGTGTTTATACCAATTCTCTGTGTTTTCTACATACCTCATAAAGATATTCACAAAAGAGGGCTTCCAGAACTTCTTCTGAAAGTGGCAAACACTAAAGGATAAGTGAGGGGCTGGTGAGATGGCTCAGTGGTCTAAAGCACCTACTTAGAACAAGCTTAGCAAAGCACAGGGACTGCGGTTCGATCCCCCAGCACCACAGGCCAGCCAGCCCCGCCCCCTGGTGGGCTGAGCTGGCCACACACACACATAAATAAAATAAATAAATTTTTTAAAAAATACATGGTACTAAAGGATAAGTGTATTTAAAGGGAAGTATATATGAACAAAAAAGAAAACAACTATAGGAAGTGATGGTTATGGTAACTAACTTGATTATAGTAATCATTTCACAAGATATATATATATACATATATACGTACATATGTGTATATATATATCGAATCATCACTTTGTGTACCTCAAAATTTGGTAACTTTATGCATTACATAAAACATATGTACCTCAATAAAGCTGGAAAGATAAACATACTCAAAAACACTTGATTTCTTCAGTAACTTTCTTACCTATATATATATTATTAACTCTCTTTCCTTTTTGCTTTTAACTTCTATTATGGAAATTTTCTCACATGCAGAACAGTAGAGAGACTAGTGTAATGAATGCCCATCTACCCTAGTGTTAAGTTGTTACATGAATATCTTGGAACATATTGCCTTGTCTGCATATTTTGGTGATATATTTTGATCTAAGTTGCAAGATATCATGGCATTTCACTTCCAAAGCTTCCAAAAGCATCTTTAAAAGGAAAGGTAAGGGGCCAGGGATGCAGCTCAGCAGCATGAGCGCCTACCTGGTAAGCTCAAGGTCCTGAGTTCAGTCCGTGGTACCACACACACGCGTGCACACACGCACACAGCAAAGGTAATTCACTGTACACGCGTGATGCTGACATCACACTTAACAAAATAAGCTCGATTTCATCCTGCAGGACAGGGTGGTCCTACCCTGATCGGGAGAGTCCAAGAAGAGCCAGTTAGAACATTTGAAAAGAACATAAATGTTCATCGTTAGCAGTTACTTAAATATGACATAGCCATGCTACATAGTAATGGAGATCATTTTTAAAAACTTTTTCCTAAAATAATATATACAGTGTGACCCAGGTTTTAGTTTAAAATGCATTTGCACAGCTGGAAGTGGTTTTGCACACGTGTGACCTTAGCGCCTCAGGAGTCTGGCATAGGAGGATCACAAGCTCAAGGCCAGCCACAAGTGTGCATGCTTGTGCATGCATGTATACACACACGTGCACACATATAGCATATGTATGTGCAGAAGATAGGAAGGGCACAAATCAAAACGCTAATAGCACTCTTGATCGCGAGTGTCAGGGCGTGATGCAGTTTTCTGTCGTCCTGTGTTTCAGCATCGTCTGAACTGGCCTACTATCTGCTCCTCAGTTGTAAGCAAGTGATAGAGTTTCCCTTACCAGCACAGAGGACTAGATATTCAGGGGGTGGGAAGTAGGGCTTTGAACTATCCACCCTGAGCATGCAGAATGATGAGGCCATCCTTTTTTTTAAATGTATTTAGTACAGGGTCTACTGGGTCTTACTACACAGATTGAACTCAGTGATCCTCCTGTTTTCAGCCTCTCAAGCACTAGGATTATAGGCGCGCCACCACGCGCAGTCCCAGTCACCATCTCAGCGCGCCCCGGGGGCGGGTCCAGCACTGCATGCATGGATCAAACCCCGGTCGCTGGCTTTAGTCCGCGGAGCTATCTGGCTGGCCCTGGCATTCTCTTTATAAGTGCACAAAGAGTCAATAGTAAATGATTATCCCAAGTGAATTTTTTATGGCACTGCAAAATTACTCATGGCCTTGTTCTTTGTTTTTGTGGCCAAATATATGTAACACAGAACATGCCATTTTAGCCACTCTCAATGTACAGTTTAATGACATTACGTCATTCACCATGGTAGAGGCCAGCTATACCACAACGGTCCCCACAACTTTCTCATTACCTCCATTTAGCCTCTGTGCCCATTTTAAACTAACTCCCTGCCCTTCTCTCTGTCCAGCTCACGATGACCTCTATCCTGTTAATATACATGGAATCCTAAAATATCTATCCTTCCTGTTTGTTTTCTTCATGTGGCATAATGTCTTCAAGGTTCATCCTTCGAAGGCAGGGAGGGAGTGTCAGCATTGCGTTCATTTAGGGGCTTCAATAATATTCCATCGCATCTGCACACTGTAATTTATCTACTCGTCTGTGGGAGACGTGTGGGTTATTTCCACCATGGTGGACTTTTTTTTTTTTTTTAAGTGACCATGCTTTTAGAATCTGCTTTACACTCAGGTATTTGAGACCTAAAAATATTTCAAGACAACACAAAGTCCAGGGAAAAAATAAGAGAGAATGACAAGTCACAAGTGCTCCCTCATGATACGAAGGAGCAGCTTTCAAAGCAAAACAGCAATTTTCTTTAAAAAAAAATTTTTTTTGAAGTTTGTTTCTGCCAAAATCTTTTTCTCCCTATCTTTGCCACCTCTCTATGATCAATCATCTGATGAAAGGGAAAAAGTAGAAAGAATACCGACTAGTCCTCTTCTAACTTTTCTACTAATACAGATGTGTTTGTTCCCATTTTTTGCTTGCTTTCAGGCCAGGGAGATAGCTCAGTAGACTAAACACCTGCCAGGGTCCTGAGTTCAATCTCTGGTACTACCAAAAAAAAAAAAAAAAGATGATTGGCTCGCTTTGTTCTTTAGTGCTTAGAAATACACAGTGCTACCTCCTATTGGTGTGACGGGGCTCTTTTATAACTATATTCATAATTGAGATGACATCTGTTAGATGACCTCAGTCTCAAGGAATTAAATCCATTCCTTCAGAGCTAGGGTTGTAGGCCCTGAAGGAATGAATTAGTGCCACAAGCACCTGCCCGGCAAGTGCAAGGTCCTGAGTTCGATTCCCAGTACGAAAAATAAATCCATTCATTCATTGAGAAAAATCTCCCTCCAACACCTATAATGAATTGACCAGGGCTTGTCAAAAATTCAGTTGAAACAGTTGTTCTCAGAACGTACTACTAAGCTACAGGTTCGATCCCTGGCATGCAGTGCTGGTCCCACCCCCAGGGCACACTGAGATGGGGACTAAGACTGGGCACGGTGGCACACACCTGTAGTCCCAGCACTTGGGAGGCTGAAAACAGGAGGATTACTACAAGTCTAATCTGTGTAGTGAGACCCTTTAGGCCTTGTACTAAATATATTTTTTTTAAAGTAAATAAACTGGAGGAAAGGACCAGTGGCCCATCATTGTACCACTAATGATACATTTTCTGAAGTTGTAGTTTAATAGCAAAGAAAGCATTCATATACTTGTTTCTTCATTATGGATATTTTATGACTGGGTTAAGGGGGCTGGCCTGGACACACTCTCAAAGGGAAGCAACTCCTGTATGTGGCAAGTACAAATTAACCTCCGTGCAAATGGGTGAGTCGTAACTGAATTTACAGAAGACAAGTTTTGGTGACGGTCCTCACTCATACACTACCTCTGCTGCAGACTCCTAACCCCACCATTGCTGGTCAGAGCTGATCACATGACCGCTGGGCCTTAATCCTTTCCATCTTACAAAGTTGCTCTCTTCCTGTCCGCCCTGACTTCGTGGTGGAGCTGATCAGGACACTCGCTGGGCGCCATGAAACTGGCTGGATCCTGTTCCTGTAGAAAAGTTGACTCCAGTGTTCTCCCCTCTTGCCTTTAGACCATCATCTGCAAACAGCATAAGCAGCAGCGCATCCTCGAATCACAGCGCCTATACTCCAGAGACCCCTCTTCCCCTAGTCGGAGGTGACCTTGCCAGCCGACTGTCCAGTGATGAAGGGGAGATGGACGGAGCCGACGAAGCTGAGAAGTTAGATTGTCAGTTCTCCACGCACCACCCCAGACCTCTCGCAGTAAGGCCTCCTCCTGTCCCTCCGCATCCTTTGTGAGCACTGGTGACTGTGGCAGAGATTCATAGCCACGAGGAAAGGGCACTGAGATAGCCTAACCAAAAGGCTTAGTGGGAGGTAGGATGCCTGCACCGGAAAAGCCCTTGACATCCAGAGGGAAAGGGAAGGGTTTCTGGCTGGCGATCACCCTTGACATACCCTGGTGTCTGCTGTGAGACTGCTGGAGAAAGGGTGTTTCTGTGCGTGCCCCCGGAAGCTGCCCCTCTGGCCTTGCCCATCCAAATGTGGAGCCCCTGGTGTCCTGAGATGACTGAGTTTCCACCTGCTCTGGATGGGGCTCTAGGTTTTACTGTATTTATCATGACCAAGTGGCACAGAATTAGAGACAGATTGAGGGAAAAGAATCTTGTGTCAGCATGATTGCTCATTAACAAAACAGGTACTCTCTGTCCCATTGCTTGGATGAGTCCACTTTGGTGGTTCAGAAGGTCATTGAACCCAGAGTGGGAAATCGCAGCATCCGCTGGAGGCTGGTTTACATTTGTCTGCCTCGTGCAGCCATTACAAAGCCAAATGCGGGCACCTGCAATAAGGGACCCCGTGTGTTTTACTCAGGGGCAGCCTGAACAGATCTTAGGGACTGTTGGGGAAATCAGTCCTTCATCAAGATGGAGTGAGTCTCCCTCCCTCCTCTTTTCTGTGGCGAGGCAAGGCCCACGCCCAGCGTGGCTAGCTGTGGCTCATCCACTGCCTGGGCCTTTGTCTCTTGGCCAGTACAGAAAGAGTCTAGGACAGTGTGTGGCAGGCCTTCACTTAGCTGTGGTAGGAAACTCAGTTCATCTGCACAGGTACGAAAGACTTTTCATTGTCTCACACAGCAAGAAGTCTAGAGGTGAGCGTTCCAAGCTTGCTTCATTGTCTTCGCAGTGTCCCAGGACAGAGGGACTGCCACCGCGGCCATTTCTGACTTTCACACAGGGTCTCAGTAAATCCACTACAGCTCCAGTGTCACAGCGTTACCTCCTGGCATTCCACAGAGAGTGGAAAGAGACACACAGGACAAGGGCCTTCCGAGATTCAGTATTCTTCTTAGTTAAATAAAAACCTATCCCTGGGAAGCCCCCAGTAGACATGTCCCTGGGCTCCCAGAACTGGGTCACATGCCCTCCCCTACATGGATCAGTGTTAGAGAAGGAAAGATTGCAGTGACACAGGATGGCCCGGCTGTGATTCTTTCCAAGGTTCTGGCAGGAGACACCTCCCCTCTTACTGATGGGCAGATAGCAGAAAAGAAGTCTGGTCCTTTTAGCAAAGAACTCTCCAGCCAGCCAAAAGTGCCCTGAAGGCATTCGAGGAGAAAAAAAAAAAAAAAAAAAAAAATCCTTTTAGCAAAGAAAAGACAGTGCGGGTGCAAGTACACACATCGGTGAGGCTGGTGGCCAGCAGGGTCTTCTCAGGTGGCCACCTGCAGCTCTGGCACGCACAGTATGCCAATGAAACAGGTGCCTTGCCAGCCACTATGCCCTGCATCTATGCACTGGATGCACAGGCAGCCGAGACCAAAAGGGGCCTCTGGCTCTCGAGTAGGAACGAGACACAGGCTCTACTAGAAGGCCAGACACCAAGACCTTTGTCCAGAGGGGATGAGCTGTGTTTAGGTACTGGCGCATTCGTGCACTCCTCGTGGTTTGCTGGTTTAAATGGAAAGTTGTGATCTGTTCTTTGTTTGTCCTCTCTCAGGGCCGACTGTCACACTCCATTATTCTTTGTAATGAGCGTTCATTCAGTATGTCCTTGCAGTTGAGATGAAGGAAGAAATGACATCTAGACCTGGGACAGATAGCTGGGAGCAGAGTCCCCATCAGACAATCCTCTTGCACATTTTCCAGCATGGTCAAAAAAAAAAAAAAAAAAAAAAATCTGATAGGAAGGTTGCAGGGAAGTGTTTCTCATCAGGTGTAATCAGTTGTAGGTTTCATCCGATTGGACTAGTGCCAGGATCTTAACGCAGAACCCCTCAAACGCAAACAAGACAGGACGAAGTGAAGGCCTTGCATTTCCTCCTGAGAACTGTCTCCGAGGCTGGTTCCAGGATGGGTCCGTGGAGCGGGTGCCAACCCAGTGCTGCGTTGGGATGGAGGCCAGGGGGCGGCTGGGAGCCCAAGGAAGAGAAGCTGGGTTGGAGTTACAGTCATTTTCAGGCTCACCTGTGCTCCAGACCAGTCACATGTCACCCTCAGAGGCCGCCGTTTGCATTTTTGTCTCCTGGCATGCAGGTTGTCCTAACGTCATAATCAGATGGTATTTATTAGGCTTGTGAATGCCCGCATTTCAGCTACGTGTTTTAAATGCAGTGGTTTGCTTTAAACATTTTTGTGGGACCTCGTCTCACTAATCCATTCTTCATCCCAAATCTCTGTGATTCTCATGCTGAAGTGAAAAAGAACAAGGTCCCCGCTCTTTATCCACTGGTAGTCAGCAGGTACATGGACCATAGTCCGGGGACATCGAGCAGCCACACAGTGATGCCAAGGTCAAGTGCAACTGAGAGTAGCAGGGATGAGGTGTGTCCATGATGGCCTGTAACACTGCTAAGGGGTGAAGCTGAGGCCAACCTGAGAAGGGGAAGCATGACGTGGCTCTGTGATGTCAGATAGGAAGGTGTGGCCAGGAGCCCAGAACCAGCAGCGCCCATGTGCCGAGTTGCTCAGGAAGACGTGATGGGGGCTGAAAAATCCAGGCTGCTGCTGCTTTGCTGTTTCTTTGCTTTTCCTTCTGAACTGGCTCAGCCCCAGGAGGAAGGGTGCAGCCCTCTGAGCCACAGAAGAACAGCTATTGTCAGCCCTCACGTGAGGTGCCGCAGGCCCCAGACACAGCACACAAAACATTTTTGGCTTTGGTACTGTTTGCTTCTTTATTTTGAGTCAAATGGTACCCCTGTGTGTTTTTATGCAAATGTTATTTTTCTCTGCGTGGTTTATATTAGCTTATTAACCTGTAATCAAAATTAAAATGGTTTTTCTTTTTCCCTTCATAGTTTTGCTCATTCGGAAGTCGCCTCATGGGACGAGGGTACTATGTGTTTGACAGAAGATGGGATCGTTTTCGATTCGCACTAAACTCCATGGTAGAAAAACACTTGAATTCGCAGATGTGGAAGTAAGTAAGCGCCTTCTGAGCAATATAAGATCAGCGTTGCCCCTCAAATTACCTGAACCCTAGCTTTCTAAATGATTGTCAGCAGCTGGCTTTGCGTAGAGCAAAATGACCCCAAAATCAGTATTCCTGTTAAATGTCAACCCTTAACGGTTTGCCTGAAGAGTTTTAGAAACATCCGTAAGGTATGCCACGTGCTTTACCTTCTCAGAGATCATTTTGAGCTGGTAATCTAAACTGGATGAAAAGGATGTTAGAAGAGATCTTGTTTATTTAATAGCATGTGGGGTCTTTTTATTATTACTCAGAGCGTCTAAGGATGATAAGAATATGATACTGTTGATGCTACAAAGGCAATGCTAAATGTTTCATAATGGCTAGAGACCAAGCACTAGTTGCTTGCTGCCCTATGGAAAATATGTGCACACAATGCTGTCAAGTGGGTTAAGTTTGTCTTTGGCCCTTCCCACCTCCCTAGGGTGCCCGCCTCACCTCTCCTGTCCTCCTTTCTGCCCTGAACTGCAGCTTGCATTTCACTTCTCTAAGGACCCTCTATTCTCCTATACTTCCTAGTGTGTTTACACTTTCCTAGTGGGTTCCCAAGAAAAGAAAGAAGCCTTCCCTTGGGAGAATGCTCTTGGGAAGGAGTAAAAGGCCCAGGCCACCTCGAGCCACAAGGGACTACACTTTGGCCATTTGGTAATGGAAGCCCAACTGCTGGGTGTCCCGCCTATCACTCCTACAAAGGGAAGAATCTCCAGAGGTCCCAGCAGAAGAAGCCAACCCCCACCCCTCACCCCCACCCTAGGAAGGCTGAGAGAAGCCAACCCCCACCACCAACCCAGGAAGGCCAGGAAAGGAAGAAAGTCCCTTGAAAAGCAGGAAGGAAGAGGAGCCAGAACTCCTAGCGGTCCCCTCCTCCCTGGCAGGCAGCTGTAGCTCCCCAGCCTTTACACATGACTGCCTAGTCATGCCCCATGGGTCTGGCCCTGCCCTCATGGGGCACTTAGGACTCTAAGTCAGCCATTCATAACAGGCAGGAAAGGGCCACAGAGAAGCTTGTGGTTTCTTCCTACGGGGGCCAGGTCTACCACGGCTGCTGCCCCCCAGGTGGCAGCCAGCCCTCTGCCCACCAGTGTTGTGGGAATGTGAATCCCGGACACGTGGAAGGAATGTGTTGATCTGTATTTCTTCGCTCCCTGCTGTGTGTCAGTTCAAGCTCCATATTCCTTTCCTCCTCAGGCACAGAAGCCCGAGCCACCGGGCATCAGGTCCCTCCCCCCTGTTCAGGACTTGCCTAACCAATCTGCTGTCACTGAGCAACATTGGGGCTGCCTGGGTGTCAACTCTGGAGAGCGTTGCACCCCGCTGCCCTCTCAGCCTCGCTGCCCAAACCCCAGGCCCTGACGGGCCCGAACCTGGAGGGATGGCAGCCGATGGGGGCGTGGAAGACATTAGGAAGAAAAAGAACGGCCAAGACTCTTTTTTCTTTAACAAGCATTTAACTCTGCATCAGGAGCTGCCAGCACAGTATTCTCTTTCAGCCAGGTCAGCATCTAGATCTCCACACCAGCTGGCGGGGGAGGATGGGCACTGTCAGGAACTGATTGGCATCTGTGGGCTTTTGCACGGGACTTCCCTAGGCAGCGCACATGCCCAGCAGAGCTGCAGCCTGCTGCCCTTTGGCACCTGGAGAGCAAGCACAGAAACTGTTCAGCACAGCGGGCAGGGCCTCCCGGGGATGGCCCCTCACTTCTCCTCTCCCCTGCCCCGACTCTCTCCTGCCCGAGATGCCCACTGAGAATTAGTGGAGAGAGGAAAGGCAAGGACAGAGAGTATTCTAAAAATTGTACCCATCCCTGAGTGAGGGCCAGGTAAGACGAGGCCTTCAGCTCCGCTGGTTGGCACAAGTTGAAGCGTGAATTGATGCAGTTGAGTGGGAAAAACCTAAATTGGGACGTTCAGAGTGGGTCGCATTCAGGGTCATCGAGTGGGTCCTCCCCATATGACCCATCTGGTCTCCTTAGAGACCTTTCATTACAAGTAAGAGTCAAAGAGCAGTCAGGCCCAGGTTGCTGTTGTTTGATCCCCAGATCCTCTAGCCTTACAAGTAACAGTCAGATCTCGCCACCATGTGTTTCTACCTCTCCTTAGCTGGGGAGGAAGGGAGAGGCGAGGGAAGGTTGCTGGGTGCCTCTCATAAAGGCAGCAAGAAAGTTTACTAGTGCCCCCTGCTCCTAGAAGTGTCCCCCAGCCCGCTTAGGAAGGGGCTGTCCAGTGCCAGACAGCCCTGAGGATGGGTGCAGACCTCTCCGGGCTGATGCTATGGGAGTCCGTGCCCACTGTGCATAGTCCCTGACAATATGGTTTTGTTGCTACTCAGAGTTCACCCGCTCACCGCATCCCCCCCCCCCACCCATTCATCTGTCCATTTCTTTGTTCATTCATCGAGGAAAGGGCTTCGGAGCTCCTCAGTTATGGTGATGGGCTTTTGCGTTCTGCAGACTGGAGAGCAAGTCAGTTCTCACAGTCAGCATGGCCACCGTGGGTGTGGCCACATTGTTCTCTTAGATTTGATCTCCTCAGGCCAACAGTTTCTGGGACACTGTGCTTCTGTGTTCAAGGATTCCTCTGGGTTCCACCCTGAAGGTGGAGGTCACAGGTTCCCCTGCTTTTAGGCAGAGGAGGGGTTGTTCAGAGGGAGGCAGAGGAGGAGAGAGAGCCTCTGTCCCATAACAGGGCCCAAGCCCCAGGCCCACCTGCCATCACATGCCACTTTTAGAGAAAGAAAGCCAGTTCCTAGCCACTGGTGAGCCCGTGCAAGCCAGCTGCCAGGGGACGCAGAGGGGAGCCATGTGAGCCACAGGAAAGAACCAGCTCGAGCACACTCAGCCCCTGAGCTCAGCGGGAGCTGGGGGTGATCCCACCCACTGTTGCTGTGCCTCTCCTGGTCCCCGGAGCAGCGGCAGACTCAACCTAGGCCAGAGATTATAAGTGGGAGCCGTTCCCTGCACAGGTCAACAGACAGTCTGGAGAGAGGCCCAGAGACCCACCCCTGCCTGGTGCCAGCCTGAGCCCTAGGGACTCGCTCAAAGGCATCACCCTTGCCCCCAGCTCCAGGAAGACCAAAGAGGAAAACAGTGGCTTCCCCATCTTCCCCGTGGCTGTATTGCTCCCCTTCCTCAATTGCTGCCTTGCATTCCAAACAATTCCTGTCCCCTGCTCTGGATGCATGAGGGGCCCTGCAAACTGACCTGCTCTAAAGGCACAGAAAGACCTGTTGACAGGCAGCTCCATGATGATCCCTCTGAGTGAGAGCTGAAGTAGGCTGGGCTGTAAACAGTCTTGGGCACAGGCAACTCTGAGTCGTTTCCCAAGCCTCTGGCCCTCCATGACCACCAGGAGCCAGTGGCCACAAGGTAGCATGGAAAGGTCTGTCCCTGGAATAACCAGAGACAGACATCCAAGACAGGAGGATGCTGGCTGTGGAGAAAGGCCCATTTCCAGGGTGTTCCAGCCAAGCACAGGACAGGGGACAGGGGATGGGGGACGGGAATGAAGCCACAGTGGGCAGAGAGGGAAGCTCTGGCCCACAAACCCTAGGTGGCTGAGCTCTGTCCTGTTTCCTACTAAAAGCCAGAACCTAAGGGTGAAATGACCACTGCCCATAAAACCACCTTCACCACTGCCAAACAACCGATACCAGACAGGGTGGGCAGGCCACTGAGAGGTACGTAGACTGAAGGAAGTCTGTCATTCGTGAGCCCCTAGCCACACGTGGAGAACAGGTCTGAAAACCTGCAAACAGCGGCTGGCGTTGCAGGGCGCAGCGTGAGGAAGGGCCATCTTCAGACCCTCCATTCCCCAGCCTCCATCCTCCATAGTCTGGTCCCACCGGGTGTCCTGTCACCCCGATGCTCACACGTCATCGAGCCTCCCAGGCAGCACCAACTCGATGTCTCACTGTTTCTCTCTGGCTCTTCTCTCGTGTTTAGGAAGATCCCTCCTGCGGCAGATAGCCCCCTGCCCTCGCCAGCAGCCCGCCTCTCCACCCCCGTGCCAGCATCCGTCTTGCAGCCTTTCAGCAACCCCAGTGCTGTGTATCTTCCTTCAGCTCCCATCAGCTCGAGACTCACCTCTTCTTACATAATGACATCTGCCATGCTCTCAGACGCAGCTTTTGTGGCATCGTCGGACCCACGCGTCCTCATGTCCCACACCACAGCTTTCCCCCATGTGGCCGCAACCCTCAGCATCATGGACTCAACCTTCAAGGCCCCATCTGCCGTCTCCCCGATACCAGCCGTCATCCCTTCCCCATCCCACAAGCCATCCAAAACCAAAACCAGCAAATCCTCAAAAGTCAAAGATCTATCCGCCCGTAGCGACGAGTCTCCAAGTAACAAAAAGAGGAAGCCACAGCCTTCGACTTCCTCCTCCTCCTCCTCCTCCTCCTCTTCCTCCTCCTCTTCCTCCTCCTCCTTGTCCCTGCAGACCTCCCTCTCGTCTCCACTGTCAGGGCCCCACAAAAAGAACTGTGTTTTGAATGCCAGTTCCGCCCTGAACTCCTATCAGGCAGCACCCCCCTATAACAGTCTGTCCGTGCACAGCTCCAACAATGGGGTGAGCCCACTCAGTGCCAAGCTGGACCCCTCAGGACGGACCTCGCTGCCCGGCGGCCCCGCGGACATAGCGAGACAGGTGGGCGCGGTGGGCGGCAGCAGTGACTCCTGTCCCCTCTCTGTGCCCTCCCTCTCGCTCCACGCGGGGGACCTCTCTCTGGCCTCACACAATGCTGTGTCTTCTCTGCCCCTCTCTTTTGACAAATCAGAAGGAAAAAAGCGTAAGAACTCGAGTGCTAGTAGCAAAGCCTGTAAAATCACTAAAATGCCTGGTATGAATAGCGTTCACAAAAAGAACCCGCCCAGCCTTCTTGCACCGGTGCCCGATCCCGTTAACAGCACCTCCTCTCGGCAGGTAAGGGACCACCTGGCACTGCCTTCATCGGCTTTGGGGGGTACGGGGAGCTGGGCAGCACCCCTGCTTGGCCAGGTGGCTCAGACAGGTGGCGCAGGTGTGGCTCCTTTTCTCGCGTCCTGCATAGACCACGTGCGCCATGCATTCTGAAAGCAGTTTACTTAATACGGGCTGTGCGCGAGGCACTGTGCTAAGCACTTGCAGCAATCTTCTCGTGTATAACTCACTTCCCACACCGTGTAGCTGGTACTGTTGTCATCACCATTTCACAGATGGATAAACTGAGGCCCGCAGAGATTCTGGCTTCCCTCCCCCACTCCTGTTTTATATCCTGAGGTTCAGAGGACAATTTCATTAAAGAGTTCTGTTGCTAAGAAGTTTGATCTGATCTGTTGAAAGCCCCTCAGGAGAGCCCAGGCCCCAGGCAGTTTAAATGACGGCCAGGGTCCACCTGGGGAACAAGGGGCAGCCTGTGTGTGCGCCTGCCTCCTGCCTGGATGACCGGTCTTCTTGCTTCTCCAGGCTGCCTGGACCCCCACCTCCTCCTAGTAGAACTGTCCTCTTAATGTAAACCTGTAGCCCCTGCCTAGGGGCAGAGCAGCACCCTGCCATGCACGGTACAGCAGGAATGTGTGTTGTACAGAAGCAGGAACAGGTGGATGGCCCAGAAAGAAACTTGTCCTGGGCTGTGATCCCGCCCTTAAACCCTTCTGTCTCCGAAGCATGGGGAAACAGCTTAGGAAAGGCCACTCCCAGCCCAGCCTACCCAGCTGTGAGTAGAAGGCACAGCCGAGGCCTGCCTGGGGCCTGCTGGTTACCACCACGGAGATGGCCAAGCCCTAAGGCCAGCCCTGAGTCCGGAGGAGGGTGCTGGAGAGATGGGAGGCAGCTGTTCCAAGGTGCTTTCATGTTTTATGTTACTGCCTGTGAGACTTGTTAAAGCCCCATGAAGAACGCTTCCTGGGGGACCCCCAAATCAGACACACGCAGGCAACAGCAGGTGTGGAATCCAAGGGCCAGAGAGCTGCAGGAGGCAAGACCTGGACCTCCTGCAGGTGCCTGGCTCTACCTGACTCCTCCTCAGGTCCAGGGGTTGGGGGTGCCAGGCACAGGGTCCTCCCTGGAAATGGCTGCCAGTGTGTGTCACCTCTGGTCTTGGGCTAGAGAGCATGGCCACGGCTGCTCAGCTTGCAGTGCGTACCCTGTTGAGCATCAGGGGTCTCGTGAAAGTGCAGGGGTGGCATGGCAGGCCAGTGGAGCCCAGGAGTCCCGAGGTCCCACGGGCGCACGGGCAGGGCTTCAGCTTCTGCAGTGCACCTGGAATAGCCAAGCCACGGTGTCCCACTCATTTCAGACAAACGTTCCAACCATGGGGAACCTGTGATAGACTCTTCCAGCTCTTCAGATATTAACTCAGTAATTAGCTGTGCATGCCCCCATTTTACTGATGTGCCAACCAAGGCACAGGAAGGTAAGCTTGGTACCCAGAATCACACAGCAAGTTAATAGTAGGGCTGGGATTTCAACTGGGCCTTCTGGCTCTGAAGTCTGGGCCCTTGGCCTCCCGTGAGAACGTAGCCTGCAGGAGCATGGGAAACGCTCAGACACCTCAACAGACCTACTGAAACCAGGTTCAAAGGAGCAGAGACGCCGCCGTGAGAGCGTGCATGTCAGAGGGAATTTGAAAAACCAAAATCAGTGCACTTAACCGCTGCTGCCAGGGGCCTGGTCCACACTGGTTCCTGCCTGGGGACACATGTTGGCTGCAGGTTTGTCAGCAGGCCCAAGAAGAAAAGCCTGTGTCTCTGTCCAGGGCCGCTGCCATTGGTTTTCATGTGCCTGGGAAGGCAAAGGAGTTTGCTTTGCTTCTGTTAAGGGCTGGGAAAAGAGACAACTTGAGGTCGCATATGCTTGTATCTGATAGCATCTGTGGAAGGCTAGTGTTTGCCACCACAGCGTGAAGCTGATGGGGAAACCAGACCGAGAGAAGGGCCAAGGGCGAGTGCCTTTCTGTAGGCAGTGAAGGTGGGGGAGGTGCGGACAGGCCAAAGGCCAATGCTGGCTTTGCAGATGAGCAGATGAGCACGGAACAAGAGGCAGCTCCCTGAGAACCCCAGGCAGGGCCCCTCATACCCCCAGGCTGCCAGAACCTCATTTTTCACGAGGGCCCTCTCACCTGGCTTCCTGTGCTGTGGAGCCGGCTCAGATATGTGTGGTGGCTCTGGGGCATCTGAGCCCAGAACAAGATGGGCCCAGTGGTACTGTCAGAGCCCGCCGTGCTGGGGGGCTGCTTGACCACAGGTAGGCAGGCTGGGCCCCTGCAGAGCTCTGCGTTGGAGCCGAGAGAGCTTCCGTAAGGCCTCCACCCTGAGACACAGTCTCAGGCCATCAAGGGACCTTGGATGCCCTGTCACTGTCTCAGTTCCAGTCAGTGTGAGAGACACAGCTTGCAGAGCAGCGCTGTCCTCCCAGTGACATGTGGTGTCTGTCTGTCTGGTCTCCCCTGCACCACCTCAGGGGTCTGAGCAGGCTTCACTGGTGTCTTTCAGGTTGGGAAAAATAGCAGCCTAGCTTTGTCACAATCCAGTCCTGCAAGCATCCCCAGCCCAGGACACAGCCGACAGGTAAGTCACTGGAGACAAAACCCAGAGTCCGCATCACGGTGGGAAGAACGGGCTCCAGGTGAAAAGCACATTTGGATCTCCCCTCCACTCGGAGAACCGCTACCTGGCTTCCGCGCCTGGCCCTTCTCGTCACTAGCTGTGCATCCCAGAGCAAGTTACTTCTCTGTGCTTCCATTTCCTTTTCTAAAAAGTGAAGATCTTACTGGCCTTCACCTCAGGGCTTCTGTGAATAAATAACTTATTCACAGAGTGTTTGGAAAACTCCTGGCATGCAGCAAATCGACAAATGCTGGCTATTGTTATCAGCATCATCATCATTCTTCCCAGCTGTCTGACCTCAGGCAGATTAGTTCTGTGGGTCTCAGTGTTGGCCTCTGTTAAATGGTCCATTGATGCCTACCTCCTAAGGGCACTGTGGAACCTGAACCGCATGCTGCTGATTAAAGGGCCGAACCCCCAAAGGTGTGACAGTGGAGGCTGTGTAAGCCTCAGAGAGATGAAGAGCCTTGGGGGGGGGGGGGAGGTGAGAGTCTGGGGAGCCAGGGAAGGCACTGGGGAAGCTGTGCGCCACTCCCTCCCCCTCAACGTGACTGTGAACAGCTGCGTAGCTATGTTGTTGGGTTGTCTGAGACACACAGTACTGATTGTAGAGAGCAAACAACAAAAGTGTTTGTCTGTATTTTGCCCTTCAGAGTTTCCCCACAAACTCTGGGTAGTATTCCGGGGAAGACTGTAGACAGACTGTCTGGGGCATCCCGGGCACAGGGGCCTCCCCTTTTGTGAGCAGCTGTGGCTCTGTCTGAGCACTTGTGTCCATGTGCTGATCTGGAGGGGCTGTGACCCCAGGGCCTCGCAGAGGTTGCTGGGTGGCTGAGTGTGTCTGCCCTCACCTAGCAAGGAAGCAAGTGAGCCAGAGAGCCCATCCAGAGCTTCAGCTTGCGCTGCAAGAGCCACACAGACCCCAGCAGGCCAGCCTTGACACATGCATAATAATACAGCAGAGACCCCCAGTTGAGCCCTTGCTGCAGGCAGTGTGGGAAGCGCTTTGCGTGCATTACAGACACGGAATATGTGTGCGTACAAACTGGTAGCAACCTGGATCATACTTGGGTGATACAGGAGGGCCAGGTGTGATGGTGCACATCTGTAATCCTAGGACTCAGGAGGCTACAGCAAGACAGGAGTTTAAGGCCAGCCTGAATTACATAGTAAGACCCTGTCTTTAAAAATTATTAATATAGGGGCCGGGGAGATGGCTCAGTGGAATAAGCGCTTCCCTGGCAAGCACAAGGGTCTGAGTTCAATTCCCGGTTCCGCAAAAAAAAGAAAAAAAATTATTAATATATAGATGAGGAGTGCTGTACTAAGAAGCTATGTAACTTGAACCCCAAATCCCATACTATGGGTTATGTTGGATATGTTCTGTTACAGGATAGGTCATGTAGGGAAAAGGAAACCACTGGAGGCAAAAAGTGACTACTCCAGTTATGCCAGAGCCCGCTTCTGGAGGGGGAGTCCATGAATACCTGTGGCTTCTGCCCACAAGTGTCCCTCCCACCGTGGGACCGGCGTGGCCGCTGGCATGGAGACCTTCACAGTGTATCCAGCCCTTAGTGCCTGTCCCAGTGAGTGGGCCCTGGCCACATGTGCTGGAACTGGGGTGTTATCTTTCCTGCTGTGGATGAGAAAATTGAGCCTCTGTCCCTAAGTTCTCACTGGTCCTCCCAAATGCATGGCTTTGAAAACGTTTCTCTTTTCTTTCCTAGAAGAACACAAACAGAATGGGCAGGATAAGGACTCTTCCATAACGAGACTATGAAGCCACTTCTAGACCAGTTCCTTGGTCAGGACCCACCCCAGGCGGCAGCAGGAACAGGAGCAGGGGGAGTGGCGGATGGGGAGTCTGTTTCCTGGGCCCTGCCTGGCCTCTGGCCTTTCTTCTTCTTTTTTCTTAATTGACCAATGTTTAGTTTCAAAGAAAAAGAAAAAAGAACATGAACTTGAGAATTACAGAAAACAATACCAGTGTTTTTCTTTTTCTTATTCTTTTTTTTTTTTTCATTTGCCATGTTTGTACATTCTTCCAAATGTGGGGTCCCCCGCCCCAGCTCCTGATGCTACTACTGCACCATCGTCTTGCTCAGGCCCTGAGGGTGGAGGCCACAGAATGACAGTTCCAGGTTGACACTGTCTGAAGCTCTTGAACTTCAGCGTGTGCAAAGCTCTTTTCCTTCCTTGTCTTCTCCTGCCCTTCTCTTCCATCGTCCACCTGCCATCAGTGCCCCCACCCCCCACCAGCCACCCAAGGTTGCTCCTGTCCCCAGCTCCTCCGGAGGAGAGTGGATGGTGAGGTGTGCTCAGTAGCCTTTGGTAGCGCCCTCAACTGGAGCCAATACTAACAGCCAATGCCATTTAATGATGTGATTTGCCCAACACCGCTGACCGCTGTGCGTGGGGCAGGAACACAGCCATGTGGAAGGGTAGCCAGAAGCAGAGCGTGGAGGCCAAAATCCCTTAAAAGATGATGGGAACCAGGTGGCTGTGATGGCCTGCACTTGCTTGGAGTCCACTCTGTGAAGGCCCTTTGAGGCACAGTGAGTGTTATATAGATTCCCAGAGTGGGGTGGGCCAGAGCTAGAGGCGTCCCAGGGAAAAGGTGAGGAGGAGCCCTGGTGATCATAGCTGCCCCTGGGGAAAGCCTCTAGGTAGACTGGGTGTCGAGCCCCTGGTGAGAATAAA